CCAGGGTAAGTACCCTGGCGGGCTGGGCCAGTTTGTTTACCTGCCGCGTCCGCAGGTTCAGCCAATCGCGGCTCTGACTGGCTGCAGTTCGCTGCTCCAGGCCAATGGGGACTGCGGGAAGCGGCGCGGGCCGAGGGATGTGCTGGCCGCAGCTTCCTGCCTCCCCCATTGGCCTGGAGTGGCGAACCCCGGCCAGTGGGAGCCGCGATTGGCCGAACCTGCGGACGCGGCAGGTAAACAAACTGGCCCGGCCCACCAGGGTGCTTACCCTGGCGAGCCATGTGCCAGAGGTTGCTGACCCCCTGAGTTAGAGTAACAAGATTGAAAAGCTCTCCTTATACTCTTTAAGATGCAGGCTAACACATTTGAAATTGCTAACTGGTTCTGTTGTAGCATTCTACCTAAACAGCTTCATGTTCAGCGTGGCTTTTCAATCATGTTCAGCTAACTTAACTGGAAAACATACTTTTTATCTGTCAAGACAGGGCTTTATAGCTACATTTCTCTTAATAGAAGAACCTGGGTAGTGAGCTAAAACACAAATGCTTCTCTATTAAATGGTGCTATAGTGTGACTGAATTTTCCTTTTAAAAGCTCTTATTTTGAGGTGTTCATAACTGTTATGGTCTGTCTTTACCTGAAAGTAGGCACATAAGGGCTCAAACTTGAAAGCAGCTATTGAAAATTGGATTTACAAACAATTTAACATATTAGTGCAGTTTCAGTGGGTTTTTAGCCTTTGTATAACTTAAATGACACAGATTTTTAAAAGATGACCGTTTGGAAAATTATTTCTCCATAATGAGACCCTAAATGCTTTTGGTATCTTTCTATTTTGTGCGAATTCTGGGAAACTTGTAACACTTCTGAGACTCTGAACTTTTTCAAATGAATACTGTTATTGTGGAATAACTTATTTTTATAGACCTATCATAATTACTTTTCTCTACACACTTGATTAAAATGGGTTGGGTTTATAAATCACTTTAAAAATGAGCAGTATTACACCTGTTTTGCTTCTTGAGTATGAGTGTATTAAGGCAATCTTAACTTTTGACTGACTTTGGTTGTGTCATAAATTCATCTAAATAGACTTTACATATCCAAACCTTTTGATTTATTTTTTTATATATATATACTGTGGTGTGTTTTGCTGCAAGAATGTCCATTTTCCTATTGAAAGCTTTCCTAATTATGTGGTGTGTATTTTTGTTGTTGTAAATCTGTGCGAAAATAAGGAAACAGGTAATTCTGTTAAGAGGAATATATTCTTTTTCATTTGTTATCGGAATGAGAGAGGAATTCTCTCTAGTATATATTGTACTGGCCATTTAAAAAAATTACATGGAACAATTTGCAACATGATCTGGACACTCTTTAGAAACAACTAACTATACCGTTCAGTGAGAATATAAGTGCAATCTAAAAATACATTAACGCTTTTTCCCAAGGTGGTGAGGGAGACAAGTCATCCCCATAAAAGCTTGAATGGCTTTATTATCAACTGTACAACATGCTCTCATGTAACAGTTCGCTAGTAGTCTCCAAATCTAACCTATTTGGATCATCTTTTCTCTTTTAGGGATGAAAGATTTAATTCTATTTTCTTTATGATCCTCCATCTCTCCCGAGCACAGCTTACAAAATGTACCAGCTTATAACTTCTTTTCCTATTACAGGCATATTTCAATACTTTCAGTAAGTCTTCACTGCAGAGTTCACTTGTGTTTTAACCCAACCTCCCGTCTACATATCGTTGCTTGGAGGAGGTTTAAGCTTAAGCGCTGCTTTAGCCTTAGGCTGGAACCTGTCCACTTTGCAGTGAGGATGGAGG